CGCAACTGCTTCATTTTATTTTGGCGTTCACGTTGCGCTGAGGAGTCAAGGGTCGCACCGGCGCGGCGCGTCCGAGCTTGGTCAGGCGGAGGGGTCGTCACCCCGTCATCTCTGCTTTTTGCACGGAGCATTACCAGGTTCGGTGTATTGCCTGCCTTTTCAGGTTGCCCTGCCCCGGGAAAAAAAATTACCTTTTTTGCCTTGAGTGCGTGGACAGTGAGTTGATTTTGCTTCAACTGCTTGACACTGATGGTGTGAACTCTTGGGGCAGTCAGGCATCTCGGTGCCTTTTTAAGCTCGTTACCCGCTCGGTAGCATCCGTTTAAATTCAGGTGTTACTTGTTAGAACTGGAAAGCTTGATAGTTACCGAAAAAAAATTTCAGAAACCATGCAAAACACACAAGAAAATTTGTGTTTATAAAATAGTCTTTGATGATAGTTTATTCAGTTGAAGTCTCTGAGACTAAAAGGTGTTGCCATGTATTTTAAGTTTTGAAGACAGCCTTGGTTGATGAAGTTTAGTAGTACTTAGGACGTCAGTGTCTTGTGTTCTTACAAGCGATACTGGATGAAGTTGTAGAACCTTATGAATTAAGTATTTCAGGATGTGTGTATTTTCTTGAAAAGTAATGGATTCTCGATATTTTGCGCTGAAAAACTCCTTGCCATTTGACTTTGTTTTTATTTTGATGGAAAATTTTATATTAAACTGGGGGGGCCTAGGAGGTGTTCCACTATGTGGTTGAGGAAGCACAGTGGTATTAGTTTTAGCTTTTGTTTTCCCTTTTCAGTTCCATGAATTCTGAATCCTGAAGTTACATTCAGGTTTTTTCATCTCTTTTCCCTGACCTTTCAGAAATGTTATATTAGCGGTGATAGTTCTAGCAGTGGACTTTGAACTTCGTTTCTAGCAATTATGCATAAATAATTTTGTTTGCAAATATAAAATTGGCAATTCTATATGCATGGTGTACAATGGAATATTACTTAACTGGAGAGAAATGTAGATATTTGAAGTTTTTACTGTGATATATTATTGAGGATTATTGAGGACATACTAATGACATTGAAACTGCTAAGGAATTTTATCAGATGTATTCAAATCTGATGAAGCACATCTTTAATGCTCCTTCCAAATGTCTTCTGGTTGTCCTCACATTGCTATTTCTGCTTCAGCAATAGGTGTCTTTATTTTATGTGGTTTTATTGTGGTGTAGTGGTTGATCTTTTCCATGTGCAGTAGAGATTTTTAATTTATTTAGTCTTTGCAGTGGGTATGTCTTAAATATGCTTACATTTACATAAATATTTTGCTTTTAGTAGGTAATCATGGTAGTGTATTATTCCTGCAAGTAAATTTATTGCAACTGTATCATATTAATGTGACATTGATTTTTATTCTTTTTCCTGCATTCCTTTTAATTGCTCTTTTTTAAATGGGAGGGAAAGATTTACCTACTGCATTTCCAAAAATTGTGAACTAGCATAGTTAAGACTGAGCTAGGTGATCTAGGTAAAAAAAAAAAAAAAAAAAAAAAAAAAAAAAAAAAAAAAAAAAAAAAAAAAAAAAAAAAAAAAAAAAAAAAAGACAAGACAAAAAACCTTACAGAGTATGGTCCAGGTTTCTAGATGACAGTATTCAACCTACAGTGAAGGCTCAAGCTGAATTCTATGGAAGTCCTTATAATTCCAAGATAGATAGAATTTTTGAGAGACAGAGCTAAGTATGTTTTAGTTGGGGACTAGGTAGGAAATAGATGTCCTGTTCTAAAAGCCTAAGGTATAGTTCAGCTTTCTTGTGCTTCGTAAAATAAGTCAATGCTCCTGCATATGTAGAGTTAGCAGTTAAAAATAGTACAAGGATGCAAGCACAAGCCCATGTCTTGTAATAGCAATGCAGAAATGGTGCTTTTATAGGTAAAACTCTTTGTCTTACAACGTAATGGCTTTTGATTATATTTGTGGCCAGTGATGTTCTTCATAGCAATAGAGCCGATTGTGAGCTAATGGATAGGCTCAATTTGTGATGAATATACATTTCAATATTGCTTTAATGCCATCTTCACTTTTGCTGAAATGCTTCTCTGATAGATGCTAGTGCCTTCAGAGGGCAGTCAGTGTTACCAGCTGTTGCTAACATTTGAGAAGTGTGAGAATGTTGCTTTAGCGCACAGATTTCTTTTTCTGACAGCCCCCAAATCAATTGAAAAATCATGACACTGTCCAGCAGGATTAGCTGATGGTGTTTTTGTGTTTTGACATCTGTAGTTCCATTTCTGAGGGAAGCTGCTACATGTTTTTTTGATCTTGGCTGTATAAAATCTACCTAATTTGATGCACTCAGAAGGATTAGTTGTGGAGAAGCTGGCATAAGACAATTTGTAAGTTTTAGCTACTACAGCTGGTGGGTCGGAGCAAGATGTTTTGTTGCCTAATCCATATTGAAATTCTGAGAGTCATACTGCGAGTCTCTGGTGGCTGAAAAACACAAGTAGGCTTTTTGAATGATTCCCACTGAAGCTCAGACAATTCTGAGCAAGCTGCTTTTGCTCAGTAAGAATTGTTTTTGGTTTGTAGGGTCTCCTTGCATCTAATGCTTATAGAACAGCTAAATGCAATGCTAAATCTAGCAAAATCTGTGATAAGAGACCTAATTGCTAGTTGGTCTTCAGTGTATTTGGAAGAAGAGCATGTGTTTCACACAGACTTTCTGACCTACAGCTCTGCAATAAGTAGATCTTGGAAAGATGACCTCAGTGAAACACTTGGCTTTAGTAGTTAGTGTTTTAAATGGACTGCAGGTTTTCAGCTTTAAAATTAGGCAAAAGAGAAAACAGCTCATGGCAGAAATCTGAAGTATGCTTTCTCAGAAATTGACTTAAAAATTCTAATGCCATGTTAAATTTTTGAAGTAGCTCACAGTCTAAATTTGACTTGGCTGGCAAAATATGTGAAGTTTTAAGAGCAGTAATTACATAATGTGGAAAACTGTAATGGGAAGATCTTACGTACATGTGTTTGAAAATTGTGAATTTTAGGAACAAATTTTGAAGTTTTCCAGATAGAGATCAAACTAACGTCGCACTGTTTTCTGTTCTTTCTGAGCCTTGTGGTACTCCTGTACTTAAGCAACAGGGGTTTTAATTTGTTTTGGTAGTCATAGTAAGTCCCAATGTGATGAAGGTTTGAAAAAAGCTGTGGTTTCTTGATGAAAGTGGGGATGAGAGTTAGGTGTTTAAATGTGTGAGCATGCCAGCCAAGGATCAGAATAAGAATAATTTTAGGCTGTCTTGAAATTCACATAAAACATTGGTGATACCAATTGTTCATTCCCTCACACAGTTGTGATACTGCTGATGGCTCAAATAGTCCAGCTGCTGATCAGAAACTGCAGAGATTCTTAGTGTAGAGGAAGTTGCAAGATGTTGCAAGAATGAGTGTCTTGATTTGCTGCAGTTAGCAAAGGAACAGGTATATCCACATAAAGCCACTGTGGCTGCCCAAATGATGCAGAAGCTAGAAAATACCGAGGTAATAAAACAAGGATTGTGTTAAGGATGTAAGACTCTAGTTCTTCAGGTGAGTGTGGAATAGAGATAGAAGGAAAGCATTATACAATGGAAGGTAACTGAATTGCCATAACATACTGTAAATCGTGCATATGCAGTCTTATGAGTACTTACTACCTAAGTACTGGCAAAAGAGGGAACACTTTAGCATTGAAATACATTGTGAGACAGTCTACACAGAGGTAGGAAGGAGTGCTCAGGGTATCCTGTTATATTCGCTGTGATGTGTTGAGCAGCCTTTCTGTAAGTCTGCTGGCTGCATTTGTTTTCATGCTTTGGATGAGTTTATTTAGCTAAGTCCTTACTCTGATTTAGCTGAATACGCTTTATGTGTTTTTATGGAATGAAACTGCCATTGAGTGATTGCTGGAGTACTGATGTTCTTCTGTGCCTTAAATCTTGATGTCAGAAAAGAAGTTAGTAGGATTTGTTTTACAGAATGGGTGAACAGAATTTCTCTTGAAAATTCAAATAAGTATTTAGAGGCAAATGCCTTAGTCACTTTTTCTTATAAGGGTTGAGAGAAGGAGATTCAGACATGGAATGGGAAAGGTAATGTAAATAGAACTTCTCTACCAGAAGTGTCCCTGCTGATTGTGTTTTGCAATACTGTTATTACATATTTTTTCAGAAGTAGAATTGCGTACCAGAAGGAGTGATTGAAGTCACCTTTTCTGTGTTGTTTTTTTTAATTGCCTGTTGCTTGTGTATATTGATGAAAATTTATGCAATATTACTTGGAAGGAGGTAGAGGAGTCAGGTCAGAAGATAGTTTAGATATTCTGCCATTTCCATCTAGCTGCATTGGCATGATGAGGTAGAGATTTGAGTGGGTTTTGCAGTTATTCAGGCTGTACCTGGCTGTCATGGGGAATAAACATTTGAAATGGACTTCTTGAGCTGGCTTTGTCTCTAGTTCCTAAATGAGTAGTAGATACAGTCCAAATATTCACGTTCATGGTACCTGAGTTTCTTTAGGGATAAATCTGCTTCTGAGAGTCTTGTGCTTAGACTTGTCTCTCAATATACTGGGATTTGGACAGTTTGCCGTGGTATCCAAGAGCCTGTTTCTGTGTAATGTTATGGGAAAACTTGCTGTTAAAATACCTTAATGTAAATAAAATGGTCTAATGATGTATGTTATGGTAGTACCTGATGTTAATAATATAACTCTAAAACACCTTAAAGAAATGGTTCCCTGAGTTAGACTTGGTGTGGTGGATATCAAAATTTATTAATTAAATATATAGACAGCAGAAAAAGGGCACTCTTCAAACTTGGCCTTATAAGCTTGCTGCTTCTAGTTTTGTGTTTGTGGCATGTGATTTTTAGTTTCAGTACCAAGGTGGAGAACTTCTCCAAATCTTAGTTGAGATTAACTTATTTTCTGAATGCACTGTGGAAGTTATGGTCTTACCACTTACATGCTGCAGGAACAGCTGTGCCTGGACTTGAGCCACATCTTTGGAGAAAGATGTACTGAATGGTGAGATAGTTTTTGATAGTTCATGGAACAAGTGGGGTGAAGATGTACTTGTTTACCTACAGAAGTAGTTAAGGTTCCTTGTACCACTGTTCCAGGTGACCTTTGGGAAGTGTGTGCAAAGTGGTGAGGAGTAGGAGGAGAAGGTGGTCCCTTACATCTCTGGTCTAGTAAAGAGTGTTTCTCTTTAATAGAGAAATGAAGATGGATGCAGAAGAGTCGGTATTGTGGCCATCTGTCTTGGCAGAGGAGAAGGCTGTTAATGGGGTATTTTGATTTCTGAAGTTCCTTTGAGCATATGCATATGTAGCCATTGCACTGAAATGGGCAATATATTGCAGCAATGGTAGCATATGAACTTTGTTTCCGTTTTATTTTTGTAATGAAGTCTTTGTTTCAGTGCCATCCATTGTGTTTGTCGTCTTGAAATGCTGGAAAATTAATGCTGTGGCCTCTGTTTTTATTATCCATTAGCATTAAGTTTCATATGCATCAACCCAGCCCAGTTTGAAGGTGGAGCAAGATCTTGGGATTTATTTAAATTTTCTGTATCTGCTGTTCATCTTCAGTCTTGATCCTGCAAGCATACCTAGAGGTGAGCACTTACAGGTTACATATCACAGTTGATTTAAAAAAGGCTTTTAAATATTTTAAATTTAAATCCTAAGATCCTAGTACCTGCTATAATTGTAATTAAGGATATTATTTTTGCCTCTAGTAACACGTGTGGAAATTTCATCAGACATCCTGGTGTAGTCCATTTCCACCCAAATAAGCATTAGAAGCTGCTTTCTGTTTCCAAAAGAGGGAAAACTAAAGTCATAACTCTAAAACACCATATGCTGCTTGTAGCAGGCTATGCTTGTACTGCATGCGTGAAGTAGAGAAGAAATTAGTGTATTAATGAGTTTGAATTTTTAATTTTTATGTGCTTGTACCTTGAGCTACAAGCCCAAATTGAGGTCCTGACCTAAAACCGCTATTGCTAATCTGGCCAGAGCACCCATTCTGAAGGGAGCTGGAAAACTGCTGACAAAGTGAACTGCATAAAGTGAAGACGACTGTAGAAGCTGCTTTTGCATTCAGATAGCTAAACTGTGAAACTTGGCATAGCAATAGCACTTGCCTTGGACTGTATCCATGGTTGAGCTGTTGGTAGGCAAGATGAGAATTACAGCCTCATTAACCAACTGAGTAGCTGAATTTTTTTCTGTAACAGTTGAGCAAACTGAAAGAAAATTAAATGGAGTTATGCTTGTCTTTTGCTAAAGGCTATTTTTATAAGAAAAGTGGTTCTTGTTGTGAAGTTCCTCTGAACCAGTGCAGCTGAGCGATATAAAACTAGCCATCGTGCTGAAATTATAATGGGGCTGTAGGTTTTCTTTTCTTGTGTTGAAAGTTTCATGTTTTTGAGATGGTGACTGTTTCTATGTTGAATGGTATAACTGAGATGACACATTCAAAGCTTTAAGCAACCTAATCTAGTGGAAGATACCACTGCTGATGGCACAGGTGTTGGAACTAGATGATTTGAAGATTGCTTCCAATCTAGACCATTCTGTGAATCAACAGCAATTTTCTGTGCAAGTTTGGTAATGTTAGAAGTGTAGAACTAGCTGTTACAAAAGGAGTAGATACTGCAGACTTTTGCTGTGGCAAAAATAAACCTGTTTTTCTTTTGTGGTTGCAGTTTCCTCGATCTTCACAAATGCTGTATGTTGTGAAACCAGGTGGAGTGAGGATTACTTGTTTTGAGCATTTTTACGTGTTCTGAAATGAGGAATGTCAATGTTCCTGAAGAAGTCCTAAGTCAAATTGTTTGTCTTTGGAGTTAATTTCATAGAATGATTGCATGCATCAGGTTTCCTGCTTGAAGGAATGGACGAGAACAGAAAATGAGTTGATACTTTTTACAGAAGGTTTTTGGTTTGGGTCTTTTTTTTAACTATAATGTGCAGTATCAGGTTTAGCTTAGGTTTCTGCATATGAGTCTTGAGTAATCTTTATGTGTTCTGAAGGAGTGTCCAAGATCAGAGACCTAATTTTTGTGGCTGCTGGTACTACTTGCTCAATTATTAAAATACTGAAAATTAATGACCATCTAATTGTAGCTGTCATCCTGTTGACTCGCCCTTTTAAAATTTATGTATCTTTTCGTAACTTGCTTGACCTAAGATGGCTGTGTTGTTTTTTGTCTGCATACATCTCAAAAACTCTGCTTGTCAGGGTATTAGGAAGAGCTGTAGACATGTGGTATTCATTCAGTCCAAATTAGAATAACTGTGAGTAAACTGCTATCAAACACGGTACATGCAAGCAGGATTTCACATTGACCTACACAAAAGGATGTGAAATGGTACACTCAGGAACGGCATGATACTGAGTGGGCAGCTTCATGTGTATGGACTGAAGAGTTAGTTAATTCTTCTTAAGGAAATATGGAAATTGTACAGCACAATTAATAAATGGTAATAAGAGCCTCAGTTTCAAGAAACATGAAAAGTGTTGTGGATGTAGCAAAGAGATGAAAGTACCTTTTGTATCTGAAAGCAATATGAATAGTTTGAGTGATGCTGAAATTTTGCTTGTTACCCAAATTTATGAATTAATAAAGCTAATGAGCCTTCTGATCTGTCTAAGGTATGCTTGACTCTATGTAACTTTAAATGTTGTTTGAAAACTCAACAGAGCTGGCAGCGATGCCAGCAAGGCTAGGGACAGAAAGCCCTGAGCCCTGGTGGGCAGTGGGCTGAATTGGGCCATAGAGACAGGGTGTGAGGGAGAGCTTTTCTTTCCACAAGACCTGCTGGGCAGTGTGTGTGGTGTTGTTTGCCTTCTTGGAGAGTATTCAGCCCATACATATAAAGGCCTGAGCAATCTCACCACATGGCTGATCTTGCTGTGGATGGGGGTTGGAACTAGAGATGATCTGAAGTTCCTACTGACTCAAATGACTCATCTGTCTACCACTTTTGCCAATAAAACAAAATGTATTTACTGGAAAGAGAACGGAGGTATGGCAGAGTTTGGGTCTTACAAAAAAAAAAAAAAAAGCAATAAGCTCAGCTGTGGTTGAGCCAGAAACATCAGCAGAGTGAGCAACTACTGGCTGTTCTTATAAGTGCATTTCTAGGTGAAATTCAGTGGTTTGCACAGTTTTAACAGTTTAATGCACAGTTGTAACACAGCTTTGACACTCTTCCAGTTCTTCAGTCTTTAGGTATTTGGGATAGTAATTGGACAAATAATATTACTAGCTACTATATGTTGCCCTTATGAGTCTACTTTACACTTAGAGCATATCATCAGTCAGCACTTTTTCAACAAACTTTCTCATCAATGGTTGTAGACCTAAATTTTTACTAATTCTTAGGAGTTGTATGATGCTGTTCTTTGAGAGAAAATAATTTTGTTGTCTTTTCCTCTATGCAAGTTGGCTTATCAAAACTTGTTGGCTTGTCAAAACTTGTCTTCCTAATGGGGATCAGCCTAGAGGGCACACACATTTAGAGTTTAAAGTAGTCTCAAGAGTTCTCTGGGAGCTAAAAGTATGTACCTTTGCATGAACCACTTGAGAGCAGCAGGTGTCAGAAGGCTTTTCGGAAAATCCTTAAGGGCAGTTCTGGGCCAAATGACAGTCCTTTGACAACTGGAATGTTTAGTATGATGATGTAAGTGATGGCCACTCTGTTTAAGAGGTGAGATATAATAAGTTACTGCCCAGCAGTGGCCCAATCTGTGTCAAATAGAAGATACTCAAAGTTGTTGCTTATATAACAGTTTAGATGTGAGGTTTTCTGGCTTTTGTTTGGTTTCAGTTTTTTTGTGGGTTTGTGGTTTTTTTTGGTTTTGTTTAGGAAGTGTTGTTGTTGTTGGGGGTGTTTGGTTTGTTTTTGTTTGGGATTTTTTTAATGTGAATATTGGTTCCAATGACAAAGGTTGTTTTGGGCACACCTCTAGGAGAGCACGTCTGACTTTTGGCCTTATTTAGACTTTTCAGAGACAGGCTGTATGATGTCCTGTGGATCAGGGTGCCTTGGTGCAGGTAATAGCTTTCTTTGCCTGTTAGGACACCTTTTGATAGAGTAGGAGAAAAAAATGTGCCTTGAAAGGAGATGAAAAATGGGAAGATGTGGCTTGTGAATCAGGAGATAGAAAATGGCTGTAAAGATTGAAGTAAGCCTGTTCATGGAGCAGTATCAGTCTGATACATTTTATGTTGTGTTAGACTTTAATATCCCTGTTTACCCACATTGCTTCTGCATTTCTAGCTTCCTGATTTCTGGAAGTGACTGTGGCATTATATAGTTGAATGGTAACTTCAAGAGAGAAGGCAAAGGACTAGGTACATATATGTGCTTTTGTGCAAGAGGTACTTCTGTATGGCAACAAAAAATGTAATACCTTTGTCTAAAACTATTTTAGCAATTATGTTTTTGTCACATACTTCTGTGCACAGTAATTTGTGAAAGGCATGCATTTTTCCCAATTAGCAATATGTGACCAATTGATCACAACTTGTTTTTATCAACAGTACCTGATTTGCTGTCCATTGTTCTGTGGTATAGTATACTGGGTGTTCTTAGGAGGATTAGGAAGGAACTCCAGGCCATGAAAAGGAAGTGATAGCAGAGAGGGTGAGGATAGTAAATAGTTAAGGTATTGCTTCTGGCTCATTTATTTTAATAATTTCTAACTGCCCTTTTTCTGTGTGTACTCCACTTTGCTTCAAAATTGTTTTGCCTCAGATATGAACGATTCTATTGGACCTTGGAGGTAGAAAGGAATGCAGTGTGTGTTTCAGCAGCTTATGCCTTCTGTGGGGTAAATAGTAGTGGTCATGAAAACCAGCTAACTACCTGTGGGGGTGCAGAGGATTGGAAAACATGACTGAACATCAGGTTTTTTTTAATGTTCTTCACCTTCATACTTAAGTGTTCTTCTCTGCCTGCTGTCCTTTGAGTGAAGTAATGTGAGTGACCTCTAAAGGCATTGAAAAATAGGGATCATAGGACCGTTTGGGCTTGAAGGGACCTTTATTGGTCATGTAGTCCAACTCTCCTGAAAAGAGGAGGGGCATCTTCAGTTTGCTCTGAGTCCCACCTAATCTGAGCTTGAATATTTTCAGGAATGAGACATCTCTCACCTCTGCAGGCAGTCTGTTACAGTGTTCTGACCATCCCTATGTGTCAGCCACTCCATACAGCTTGGTGTTGAGAGTCTTGCACTTCTAGGGCATTCTGCCTCATGACCATTTTTGCCACGTAGCAGTTTGGACTGTCCATGAATCAAACCCATAATGGTTGCTGTCTTATGTAGTCATGGTAGATTCTTGAAATGTATGGTAAGATGAACAAGAAATTTTTTTCCTTAAATTGGAGGAATTAAGTCAATCTAAAATTGCTCATGTGGGACTGCTAGCAACTAGCCATTGCAGTGCTATCCCAGAGGATTTTAACCAGCGGCACAGGCTCTATTTGGAGGCCTGTCCCTACTGGTGTCTCCCACCAAGAGCGGGCCCAGTCTTGTGTAATTTACCCATCAGTGACTTGGATGAAGGGCAGAGGCCTCCTCAGCAATTTCACTGACAGCACA